TCTGATTCAAGAGCTGAACGGTGGAGGGGAGGATCAGCACATAAAAGAAGGGAAGGCATGGCCAGCTTTGTGACCTTGGAAAATAACTGAATTCTCTAAGTCTGCTTTCTTGTCTGTGCACAGATACAATGAGAACAGCAGACAGCTCGATCGTGCTTTCAAAGGAGAAAGGAGATAATGCAGACCGAGAGTGCCCAGAATATAGGGATTCCTGCTTATTGAGCACCTGCTGTATGCTAAGCCCTACCCCTACCTTGTCTCAGTCATCTTCCCAGTAACACTGTCAGCTCCAGACTCTTTCTACAAGCAGGAAACTGAGTCACAGCAAAAACCTGGGGGAGGTGATTTCAGGGAGGGCTGCATGATGCCAAATTCTCTCCCCAGCTCACGGAAGAGAGGGGGACATGGACATAGCAGAATGGGGCCCACAGCCCTCTGCGCAGGGAGATCTCAGGCAGTTTTCCTTGGAGGTGGGAGCAGTTTCAGGAGCAAGCTGACCCTTGGTCCCAGTTGCAATGGGTCCTGGGGGCTCAGCCAGACCTGGCTCCTGGTGGCCACTAGGGACTCACAGGCCAAGTGGAATTTGGGGAACAAATTCTAGTGGTATTTGAAGTTTTGTGACACATCTCAGGCTGACAGGGAGAATTTAGGGAAGAAAATTCCATTTTTTGAATACTTGAGGGTTTCAGAATTTCTCTCCCTCTGGGAAATGGCATAGTCCAGACAACAGACCAGCCCAGCTTCCCTACTTTTGGGGCAGGTCTGAGCCTAGTTTTCTCCGGGGAAATGGGGACAGTAAATGTTTTCATCACCTGGCTGTTGTAGCAAATAAGATACTGTGTATGAAGACGCTTTGCAAATGGTAAAGTGTTCAGATGCTGTTATATTTTTCCTCAAACGCTGGGCTTTTGGAGGATTTATTTTAAATTCTAAAAATTGTTATAAAATATACATAATGTACAATTTCCCCTAGCAGCCATTTTTCAGTGTCCAGTTCAGTGGCATTAGGGACATTCACTTTGTGGTACACCCAGCACCGCGGTCCAATCACAGAATGTTTACATCTTGCAAAACTGAAACTCTGTCCCCATGAAACACTAACTCCCCACTCTTCCTCCCCTCCACCCCTGGCCAGCACCACTGCCCTCCCTGTCTTCTTGAATTTTACTTCCCAGAACCTTGTATGAGTGTAATTGTGCACTATTTGTCCTTTTGTGCTTGGCTTTTTTGTTGTTTTTTTTTTTGCTATGGTAAAATATACATAACGTAAAATATACCATCTTTATCATTTTGAAGTACAGAGTTGAGTGATATTAAATACATTCAGAATGTTGTGAAACCATCACCACCATCCAGGTCCATAGCTCTTCCATCTTGTAATGACTGAAAAATCATACTCATCAAACACTAACTCCCGCCTCCCCCAGCGCCTGGCACCCACCGTTCTACTGTTTGTCTCTGGGAATCTGACTGCTCTACATGCCTCATGTGAGTAGAATCACACGATATTAATCTTCTTGTGACTGGCTTATATCACTTAGCATAATGTCCCAAATTTCAACCGTGTTATAGCATATGTTGGAATTTGTTCTTTTTAAAAGTGAATAATATTCCATTGTACATGTAGACCACATTTTTCTTGTCCTTTCATCCACTGATGGAAGCTTGGGTTGCTTCTACCCTTTGGCCATTGTGAATAATGCTGCCATGAACACGAATGTACAAAATTCTCCTCGAGATTCTGCTTTCATATTTTTTGGGTCTCAACTTAGAAGAGGAATTGCTGGATCACATGGCAGTTCTGTATTTAATTGTTTGAGGCGCTGTCGTGCTGTTGGCCACCGAGGCTGGATGCTGTTATTTTTAAGGCCATATGTTAGCACAACAGTGACGCCAGACAAGGATCTCCTCGGTCTCCTGACTGCCAGGAGGGTAGAGGTTGGTGGCGCCCCTGACACACGTCCCAGAGATGCCTGGAGGTGCGGCTGTCACCGCCCCCTCTCCACCCACCCCCACCCCTCGCCCTCCTGGTTTGGGGTCTGCTGACCGTGAGGCTGCTGCTGCTCTCTGGGAACAGCTCGTTTGCAGCATCCTAGTACTAAGCAGAGGACCTTTCAGCTTAAAGTCACTCATCCAGATCAAGTACCGAATGACCTGTTTTAAATTAGAATCCAAAATCTGTTGTTAACTCTGAGAATGCGTCCAGTTCTCTTAAACATTTCACGTACATGAAAATTAAAAATAATACTGAAATAATGGGTTCAATTTTATTTGTCATCTTTATCTTTAGTTCTGAACCTTCCTGAGGTTGACAACTGTTAACTCACTCAGGGCCCGATTTTCCCACCTCAGGAGAGACCAGTAGGACTGTCCAGTGGGTGACGCTGGCAGCCTGGCAACAAGGGGCCAAGACCCATTCCCGTGAGGTCACCAGGCACTGTCAGCGTGGAGGGCCATTTCCCTGGGCTCTGCCGCCCGAGGTGCCTGCTCTGCTAGCCACTGTGATGACCTCTAATGTCCCTACTGTCACATGCTCAGTTGGAAGCTTCCTACCTACTCCCACTGTCCCTATAAAAAGGGACAACAGGCAGGTGGAGGTGGGTCCCTGTTCTGGAACACACAGCTCCTAATGTGCAGCCTGTCGGAGCCACACACACCTCCCCACGGGATGGAGACATGGGGTGGGGCAGGGGTCAGCGGGGCAGTGGCCCTGTGCCTCTTCCTGCTGACCCTTCCAGTCCCCACCAGGTGACACTGGTGGCATCTGCCAGACACCTTCCTGATCAGTTTTCAGATGACTTTCCCACTGAGTTGGCATTGTCTTCACAGTGGCTGAAATTGCTGTGGACCAAAGATTTTAGCCAAGACCCTGATTCTGGAGCTGTCGCCATCCTGGGTGATTTGTCTCGTGATGTTGGGGGTCAGGTTGAACCCGATTGTATAGTCACTAGATCTTTGGGGTCTCCAAAGGGGGTGGTCTCAGCTCATGTCCCTGGAGTCAAGAGGTACTTAATCCTTACCTCAATTTGAGTCTAGCCCCCATTCAGTTGCTCCACCAGGAGACTGTTTATCGAGTCCATGGATGCCCGGCATACAATCTGCATGCTTATCCGAAGCCTTTTATGATAATTGAGCCACAGCTCATAAGGATATTTGAGTTTGCATCTCACAGTGGTTTTGTTTGGCTGTGAAGCTAAAGTCACGTAGTGAGAGGGAGAAGAATCAGGAAGAAGGGAGTTTATAGGGAAAAAAAAGTGACAAAAAAGAATTTTAAACAAGGATGGTTGTTTGCAAATGTCAAATGTCAAGCTTGACTCCTTCCCTGACTCACTGGCAGAAGCCCTGCCTCTCCCCTCCCCTCGGCTTCCTCGTCAGCAAAATCAGGTCGTAATCCTGGTCTATGTTTCGGGGCGATTGTAAAACCAGGCTGTAGTGTGTGGTCCTCGTGGACTCATACCCAGCACTCTTCTGTCCCTCCCTCAAGTGCTGGGGGAGGTGGCCACGAGGCCCCAGGGACATTTCCTTGGATAAAGCTGCCCTAATTAAAGGTCAGGCTGACCTCTGTGGTGAGTCCAGGCTGACTTCAGCCCCTTCTCCATGGGCCAGAGTGGCCAAGTCTGACAGCAGTGCAGCTACATGACTTACAGGTTGTGGGACCTTGTTTTCTCAGTTTCTTTATCTGTAAAATGGAGCCAACAGGTCCTAGAGCTGATGTGAAGGTTACAGAGGAAATGGGTAGACAGTGCCAGCACAGCGCCTGGCACCTGCTCCGTCCTCTCCATCCATGGTAGCTCTTTGCTCAGGAACCAAACAGGAAACCGTTCTGGCTTTCTGTTTTAGACTTTTCTGAGTTGCCAGCACACTGGTCTTCCAATAAAGGTCCTACATTTGGAGAGAAAAAGGTCTGTTGTCCAGTGGAAACAAGCTGGGGAAGAAAAGAGCAGTGTGCTCTCAGCCCTTCCCCCAAATGTCTACAGACATCCAAATGGCAGTGACCACCAAGGATGGGCCTCCTCGGGCGGATCATTGGGACCCAATGGTACTAGTGCTGTCTGTACCAGCAGGGCCAGGTCTAGAGGTACCTGATTAAGAGGTGGGGGGCATGCACACAGTGGCTAAGGTGGACTTAGGCCCCTCTCCCAGGTACCATGGGAGCAAAGCGGGGGACCATGGACTCTGCAGGAGAGGGTCCTGGAGGGCTTCTCAGAGGAAGTGATGCCAGATTTGGGCTTTGGAGGATGAGACTGACTTTTCCAGGTGGTTAGGAGCAGGACCTGAGTGAGCAAATACCTAGAAACCACTTGGGCATGAAATTCATCACCAGCAATATGACAGGTACTCAGTGATAATCTGGTATGTTCAGGACTGTGCCAAGTGGTGGTGGCACAAAGGTGCATAAATAGGTGGGCTGGGGAGTGTTGGGGGTGGAGAGGGCAGAGAGGGCTGGGAGGAAGCTCATGGGGTGGGAGAGTGATTTCCCCAGGGCCTCCCAGTCTGTTGGTGGCAGGTGGTCATTTACAGAGCCTGAGGCAGGATGATCTGAGCCGAGAAGGACCTGGAAAGTAAGATCTGGGGTTGTTTCTCTAAGGGTGGAAATAGCCAGATATGTAGCCTGTGGGTGGACAGAGTGTTTGACATGAGTGACTCAGGATCAAGGCATATTAACTTTCATTTTCGGTTCTCCAGGTTTATCCGGCCCAGAGGATGCTGTGTCTGGTTATTACACAGACGCACAGCTGGTGACTGAATCTGCGCAGCTGAGAACATCTGGGTCTGGGTCACACTCAGCCAGAGGGAGACTCCTGGGTAAGTGGAGCCCCACCTCCCCATCCTCAGCACGAGTCTCTGAGAAGAGGATGCTGGTCACTACTTGATTGTCACTGTTTTGGAGAAGAAGGGAATGGAAGCTCAGGGAGAGGAGGTGAGGGGCCCGGGACCACAGGGTAAGCAGTGCAGAGCCTGGATGTCGAAGCAGGTGGGTCTGACTGCTTCCTCCCGCCCCCTGTACCCCAAACAGAACATAGGGAGGGCGACAACTGCTCAGGTGACTAAGATGTGAGCGGTGACCCCAGAAGGAAGGTGGTTGACGGTGGTGCCTGGTCTTTGAGAAATTTGGAGGAAGCAGAGGAGGTGGAGGAAGGGAGGAGTCAGAGCCCCTTGTCCTTGTGGCCTTGAGGCCACCCCCGAGGTGCTGTGCTGAGGCTGTGGAGGGCAAAGGGTGTTTTCAGATATGAGGAATCAAAGTTTCTCGGGCCCAACCCCCCACCCCTGTCTCTGAGTGCCTTGCTCAGTGCCCTGAGGGGAAACTGAGGCCTGAGAGCGGAGGACAGGGGACCAAGCAGGCAGTCAGTGGGGCTTTGCCTTCCTGGGCTTCCCCGGGCACTCTCTCAGGACTGTGTGAGGTGGGAGATGCAGGAGGTGGCCTGTGAGGGAAGGAGGCCCAGAGGGAGCAAGGGAGATGGGCTCCCTGCGGATTCCCGCAGCAGGGTCCCAGTTTTCCATCTTAAGAGAAAAAGCCAAACTGTAGACCTATGAGTATACGTGGAGGGGCGTGAGCTTGGACCTGTGTGTTTACACAGGCAAAGACAAATCTAGACGCTTCTGGGTTATTAAAATCCCATTTCCCCCCTTAAATACTACCAGTGTCAGAAAGACTGAGAATTTGTCTTGCTGAGAAAGCTTTCTTCAACTCCACATTATTTTTTAAATATTTCTTCCAGTGCATTTGTAGTTTTTTCTTTCTGGTTTACATTTAGATCCCTTTGGGATGGATTGATCGATCAGAAGCTATTTGTTTCTTCTTCCTCCTCCTCCCCCTCCCTCCTCTCTCTCCCCCTCCCTCCAGCCCTTTCTCGTCCTTCATCTCCTTCAAGCAGGACATATTTACTGGGTACCTACTGCCGTCAGTGAGGAACACACCATTTCTTGTATCTTCTAAGGAGCCTCAGTGTCCCAAAGTCCTGGACAAAAGTAAGGGGACCCAGTGGAAAGAGGCTGGAGGGAAGTGGCCCGACACCCAGACCTGGCCCGGCCACCCTCGGGGAGCAGAGGTTTGGGAATGTGCTGCTCAAGGCTCAGGCATTATTCAGACTCGCTGGAAACCATGTTTTCCCACAATTCTCCTCCTCTTTCTCCTTCTATAAAAAATACCATGGCTGGAGTCAGGAGACATGAGGAAATACAGGTGTTCCCTGCTACCTGAAGGTCGAGTGTCCTATGAAACCTTCTGTAAACCAAGAGGGCTCAGAGTGAAGAGGGTGTAGGTCTTCCATCAAAGGATAGTGGCAGAGGGTGATCTTTGGAAAGTGGGGGATGCCCGTACATTGAAACACTCAGAAATCTGATATACCCGTCAAAAATACATTAAATCAGTGAGGTAATTTGTTTGAAATCTGAGCGGTGTTAATTGTTCTGTGTCAGAAAGAGCTTTTCATCAAGATACACGCACTTGAGACGAGGGTTGTGCTGTGGCATCGACAAGCTGGTTGTTTCACGTCCCAGGAATGGCTCCCACCCCGCGTATTCTAGCTAGGCTGCGCCCGGGTGGGCAGAGGGGCCCCAGAGGCCCTGGGGCAGGACGTGCAGCAGAGGATAGACAGGGCCCCTTCCTGGGCGCTGGGAGCTGAAGGAACAACACAAGTAGAACCTCAGCCAGAAAAGGTAACACTCAAGGGGGTGCCTGGAGAGTAACTGGGGGAAGCAGCAGAGCGAGGGGGCTTGGGGGCTGGGCCTCAAGGACAGGCCACCTTTCGCATGGTGAGGCAGGTGGGGAGGCATTCCAGGGGCAGGGAGCAAACGCCTGGAGGCTGGGGTGTAATCAGAGGCAAGGAAGCTGGAAGTCCTCCAGGCCCTGTGGGGGCAGGGAGTGGTGAGGAAGGCAGAGGTGGAGCAGTCAGCGGGGCCTGGCTGCTGGGCTAAGGACTTTGAACTTGGTCTAGTCTTAACCCCTCCTTTCCCTGCCCAAGGAGGATGCAGTCAAGAGCTTGATTATTATACAGGGCGGCTTCCTCTCTCAGCCTCTGATTGGTTGGTTACAATCAATATCATAAGTGATATTTTCATTGGGTAATCAGTATCTTTAACTGATATTCCTACATTAGGTAGTTAATCAGTACCTTTAAATGATTTCTTACATTGGGAGACGGAATAATGTGAAAGTTCATGCTCTGGAGACAGGAAGCCTGGAGTTGAATTCTGGCTCTCTGCTTTGATGCTTTGAGTAAATTACTTAACCTCTCTGAGCTTCCTTTCTTACCGGATCCTTGTGGGAACGAAAATGAGTGAACGGAAACCAAGCACTTAGAACGCTGCCTGGTGCAAAGTTGGGTAGTCATCAAACACAGTAGCTAATAAATATTAGATACTGCATTTTCCTTTGTCTTGATTAAAAATTTTTGATATTATTGATTTACTTCCTACCTGGAGAGATAATGATTTCACTTATTTTTATACTTTTTCTTATACCCCTCCCCACCTTCTCCTAACACCATTAAATCACTAGTTTTATAATCCTCTACCAGAAAATCGTGTAATTGTAAGCACTTTATTTACACCTTTATTTCTTAGGTCCTCAACTGCGGCCAGTGTTTCTTGATTTCTCACTTTGAGAAATGAGAGTATTTATCATCCTCCTGCCTTCAGTGCTTCCCCTCCCACTTCTAGCCTTGTACTTTAGTTTTTATATTGATTGACAGCAAGTACATTTCTCATATTTAAATACTCTGTTGTGTTCTAAAAGATAAAGATCATTTTATACTAACTATACACAAACTTTAGAAGTTGTGAATCACTAAATTGTACACCTGGAAATTATGTAATATTGTATATCAACTATACTTCGATCAAAAAATCTCCAAAATAATCAACATAGGAAAACCAGGACTTGCACATAAATATATTTACTTTAGCTTTAGAATAACAAGAGGGTTTACATATTTGTCATGTTTTAAATGTTATTTTCTGTAGAGCTAACTTGTACCGTATAATTGCTTTTTGGCATAGCCTTAGTTTTTCCTGATGTTTCTAATTGCCTTTGTTTTTCACCCCTGGCACTGTTTATATTCAACATTCCCTCACTTTCTTCCAAACTGTGCATCATGTGAGGTATGTTATGAAGTCCCCTGTCCCCACAGACCTCTTCACGTCTTAGTCTGTTCTGTGTTGGTTGCTGTGTCAGTCAGCTACATGCTCAGCTGTAATCCATGGATTCCCTTCTCTCTGGGTTGATTTTCCTGATTGCTGGATCCCACATCTTTCACTCTGTTGATTATCCTTCACCTCACTCCATAAATAAACACAAACATACACAAACACACACACGCCATCTTCTTCTTTTCCATGCAAGTCATTTTCAAGTAACTTTCTAAGAAGTCTGGTGTAGACTTAAGGCTGCTGTGACTATGGGATGGGAAGTGGGGTCGGTGACCTTATCCCTTGCTCTCCCCCTCTGCCTCACTCTCATCTTGCTCCCTCTCTGGCGTCTGCCCAGCAGACCATTCTTCTCATTTGCATGCCTTCTCTCTCGTTTCTCGTTAGAAACACTCTTCCTCTCACTGACTTAATTCAGCTATCATTTCTCCATCCAGTCAGTCTTCAAACATTTGTTGAAGTCTCTGGTCTCCTGTTGCCCCCATTCTGGTCTTTTACTGACAATGGAGTAAGGAGAGGTAGGATACGTGTTCTTAAGCCCAGTGAGTGGGTTGGAACCCAATCTACCACAGACAAGACTTGTGACCTTGCGCAAGTCATGTAACATCTGTGCTTCAACTTCCTTTCCTGTAAATGGGGAGACAATGGTACAAGCTCAAAGGTTATTGAAGTATATGAGCTATTATTTGTGATGTCTTAGAGCAACTACTGGTGCACAGCAAAGACCACAAACACAAGCCAGCCTTATCATTAGCTGCTATTATACCTGTAAGTACCTTTACTATCATTTCAGTCCGATTTCAGGAGGAGTGATTGATAAATGCCCTTTTGCCTCCTTAAAAAAGTACCTAAAGGTAATCAACATTTTTGCTTGCTTTCTTCATCTCCCAAGGCAACATAACCACAAGCAGAACCAAAAGAATCCTCTCCAAATAAAGATCTGATATTTTTGAACATTCATTTAAAAAAATCTTTATTGTGGTATAATTCCTGTAGAGTAAACTACACGTTTCAGATGTACAATTTGATGAATTTTGATAGATGTATACACCCCTGAAACCACCACCACAATCAAGTTAGCTAACATTTCCATCACTCCCCAAGAGGAGCAAATTTCAAACTCTGAATTATCCCTTCCCACGCCTCTTTACCCACTTTTTTTTTCTTTTTTTCTTTTTTTCTTTTCTTTTTTTTTTTTTTTGGATTCCACATATAAGTGCTATCATGTGGTATTTTTCTTTCTCTTTCTGGCTTACTTTACATAAAATGACAATCTCCAGGTCCATCCATGTTGCTGCAAATGGCATTATTTTATTCTTTTTGTGACTGAGTAGTATCCCATTGTGTATGTATATATATATATGTATACACAATGGGATATATATATACACATATATATATACACAATTTCTTTATCAAATCCTCTGTTGATGGACATGTAGATTGTTCCCGTGTCTTGGCTATTGTAAATGGTGCTGCTGTGAACATTGGGGTGCATGTGCTTTTTCGAATTACATTTTTCTCTAGATATATGCCCAGGAGTGGGATTGCTGGATCATATGGTAACTCTATTTTTAGTTCTTTAAGGAACCTACATACTTTCCCCCATAGTGGCTGCACCAATTTACATTCCCACCAACAATGTAGGAGGTTCCTTTTTCTCCACACCCTCTCCAGCATTTGTCATTTGTGGACTTTTTCATGACAGCCATTCTGACTGATATGAGGTGTTATCTCACCGTAGTTTTGATTTTCATTTCTCTAACATTTAGTAATGTTGAGCATCTTTTCATGTGCTTGTTGTCCATCTGGATGTCTTCTTTGGAGAGATGTCTATTTAGGTCTTCTGCCCATTTTTTGATTGGGTTGCTTGCTTTTTTGATATTAAGCTGTATGAGATGTTTGTATATTTTGGAATTAGTCCCTTGTCAGTTGCATCATTTGCTAATATTTTCTCCCATTCGGTCAGTTGTCTTTTTGTTTTATTGATGGTAACCTTAGCTGTACAAAAGCTTTTAAGTTTAATTAGGTCCTACTTGCTTATTTTTGCTTTTATTTCCATTACTCAAGGAGCTGGCTTGAAAAAAATATTTCTGTGATTTATGTCAAAGAATGTTCTGCCTATGTTTTCCTCTTAAGAGCTTTATAGTATCTGGCCTTACACTTAGGTCTTTAATCCATTATTTTTGTATATGGTGTTAGAGAATGTTCAAAATCAATATTTTATAGGTAGCTGTCCAATTTTCCCAGCACCATTTGTTGAAGAGACTGTCTCTTCTACATTGTATATTCTTGCCTCCTTTGTCATAGATTGATTGACCATAAGTGCATGGGTTTACTTCTGGACTTTCTATCCTGTTCCATTGAGCTATGTGTCTGTTTTTGTGTCACTGCCACACTGTTTTGATTACTGTAGCTTTGTAGTACAGTCTGAAGTCAGAGAGCATGAATCCCCCAGCTCCATTCTCCTTTTTCAAGATTGTTTCAGCTATTCAGGGTTTTTTGTGTTTCCATACAAATTTTAACATTTTTTGTTCCAGCTTTGTGAAAAATGTCATTGGCAATTTGATGAGGTTGCATTGAATCTATATATTGCCTTGGGTAGTCTGGGCATTTTAACAATATTGATTTTTCCAACACAAGAACAGAGTATATTTTTCCACCTGTTTATGTCATCTTCAATTTCTTTCATCAGTGTCTTACAGTTTTTGGAGTATAGGTCCTTTGCCTCCTTGGGTAGATTTATTCTTAGATATTTTATTCTTCTGGATGTGATGGGAAATGGGATTCTTTTCCTAATTTCTTTTTCTGATATTTTGTTG